GCATATCAGGGGTAGTTATTGGTGATCGATGAAGTGTCCATTTGTGCTTGGCCAGTCTTTGTCTTGGTCCATTTTGTGTCTGGCTCAGTCTTGTTTTTGGGTCACCTTGTATTTTGGGCCAGTCTTGTGTCTTAGCTCAGTCTTTTTGTCTAGCTCCATTGGTTTGGCTCCACTTTGTTTGGGTCATTTTTTATTCTTGGCTCGATTTTCGTCTTTTTCTTCTTTTTCTTCTTTTTTCTTTTCTTCTTTTTTCTTCTTCTTCTTTTTTCTTCTTCTTCTTCTTCTTTTTTCTTTTCTTTTCTTCTTTTCTTCTTCTTCTTTTTCTTCCTTTTTCTTCTTTTTCCTTCTCTTTTTCTTGCGTGCTTTGTTTTCTTCCCTTCTTCTTCTTTTATTTTTTCTTCTTCTCTTCTTCTTCTTTTTTTTTCTTCTTTTTTTCTTTTTCTTCTTTTTCTTCTTCTTTTTCTTCTTCTTCTTTTCTTCTTTTCTTCTTCTTCTTCTTCTTGCTTGCTGTTCTCTTCCTTTTTCTTCTTCTTTCTTTTTTCTTTTTTTTTATTTTTGTCTTTTCCTTTTTCGTGTTTTTCTTCTTCTTCTTCTTCTTCTTCTTTTTCTTTTCTTTTTTTTTCTTTTTGTTTCTTTTTTTCTTCTTTTTTTCTTCTTTTTCTTCTTTGCTGTGCTGCTGCTGCTGCTGCGCTGCTGTGCTGCTGCTGCTGCTGATTACTTCTTCTTTTCGTCTTCTTCTTCTTCTCTTCTTCTTTCTTTCTTCTTCTACTTCTTCTTCTTCTCCTTCTTTTCTTCTTTTCTTCTTCTTCTTCTTCTTCTTCTCTTCTGCTTCTTTTTATTCTTTGCCAGTCTATTTCTTCTTTTCGTCTTCACTTCTTCGTCTTCTATTTATCTTCTTTATTATTATTATTCTTTATTATCTTTCTTTTCTTCATCTTTTCTTCGTCTTCTTCTTCTTCTTCTTTCTTCTTCTTCTTCTTCTTCCCTTCTTACTTCTTCTATCTCTCTTCTTCTTCTGCTTCTTCTTTTATTCTTTCGTCTCTTCTCTTCTTCGTCTTCATCTTCTTCGTCTTCTTCTTCTTCTTCTTCTTCTCTCTTCCTCTTCTTCTTATGCTCGTCTTCATCTTCCTCTTATCTCTTCTTCTTCTTCTTCTTCTTCTTCTTTCTGTCTTCTTCTTTCTTTTATTCTTCGTTCTTCTTCTTCCTTTTTCGTCTCATCTTCTTCGTCTTCTGCTTCTTTTCTCTTCTGCGCGTCCCTTACCCCCACCCAACCACAGCCCAAGATCCAACACAGGGAAACCGCTAATCGAGGGACCTGGATAAAGCGTTTAATCGTGTCTTCCCGTCAACCGCGCTAACTGCCGGAGATGTTGGCTACTGGCTGTAAACGTCAACCCCCTACAGCCAGGCGGGTCTGACGATGCGGTGCCGCTTGGTGCTGCCCCCTACAGCCAGTACCCGCTGCCTGTAGAACGTCAGTGCTGAGTTTTATGGCCCGTGTGTGTGACATGTGATTTGATTGGCCAGCAGTCTCATTTGCTGTTATTATCTCTTCACCTGTGTTCCTGTCACTTCCTTTGCTGCGATCGGTCGTCACCACAAGTCAGTGAGGGCACAACTTAGTCTGTAATAATGCCCCAGTTGGGAGCCAGGGGAAACCAGCATTAGAGACTGAGCCCGGTACTGGGCCACCAGGAGACAGTATGGGTCACAGCATGCTTCATCTGCTTCCCTGGCTGCGGTA